TGTTATAACTTCAATTAAATATTCTCAGTTTTTTAAAAAAATCCTAAGAAAAGGATTATGGTTATTAAGGAATATGGTTGTTATTCAATAAAATGTTCACTCTAACTACGGTCAGGATAGGGTATACATGTTAAATGTACGATTTATAATTGCTAAAATTTCGAAAATTAGCACCGCAAGGACTATTAAAGAAAAATTTATTATAAATATTGTAAGAAAAGTGATTTTGCACAGTACCTCCTTAACTAATAACTCATTGGACTAATTGAACCAACATATTAATTCAAAATGTTACAGCCTGATATCTGTAATGATAATGAACAAACTATCAAATTCAACGAACTTGTTGATTTACTAGTTGCGGCTGGATATTTTAGAGCAAGAATTAAAGGATTATCAAACTTCGACAAAGTTTGTTAAACTGAAGAATCTATTTTTTTTTTAATATTTCATCAATTTATTATTTTTAAGGTTATTGGTGGTATTACTTGGTGTATTGAATCATGTAATTTTGACGTAAATGTCAATTTTTTATTTCATGAAAATCTCTCAATAGGACAAAAAATGTAAGTTATTTTTCTATTTTTTGAAATCAAAATTGATCTGTTTTTGTTTTTTTATTTTTCTTTTCAGTGCTTTAACGGAAAAAATTGTTTGTATGTTATTAAAAATGAGCTGTCCTTTTAGAATAGAACCTCATCAAGTTCAAGGATTAGATTATATACATATATTTCCTGTCATTCAGGTATACCTTAATTATTTCTATTACCTATCTCTTCCTAGTATTTATTGTATTTCGTTCTAGTGGCTTGTAAAAAAATCAATAGAGACAAGAAAAGAATCCGCTGGTTTTGTACGGCTCTTATCTCACCGTCAATTTTATAAAACTCGTAATGTGTTAGATAAAAAATTTCATAGTTCATGTGATTCTAAAGAGTACAATGATTTTAATATTAAAATTATCAAAAATATTTATGAACCACGAAGACGATTAAAAAAAGATTTACCGCTACTGGCTCAAGTTCCGAAATTGAAAAGCACTATATTAGAATATGGAATTTTTTTATTTCCAAGTACGACGTATAAAAATCTAAATCACTTTGAAGTAGATAATAATAAAATCAAAATTAAAACAATATCAACACCAAATGTTGAAGATGAATATTCGAAATTATCGGAAACTATAGTCTGTATAGACAAAAATCAAATGGGTAGTATTGTAAGTTCTCAAATTAATCAAGAAATGGAAACTTTTGGACGTAATTTTACACCATGTATCGATAGAAAGGTATTCTATAGCTTAATACATTTCATTGATATAATATTTGTAACTGATAGAGTTTAATACAGGACACTGACAGCGATGCTAATTTATATGAAGCACTGAGAAAAAAAAAAATGAGTTGGTTGAACCAAGTACAAAAAATTAAGCACGATCAAAGCGAATTACTTCAAAAAATTTCCAGGTTAATTGAAAGAATGGAAAAGATTTCTGAAAATCAATCTAAAATAGAAAATAATACTTCTCAACTAGCAAACTTGAAAAATTTTGATAATAAAAGGTATTAATTGAAATAATTATTTTTATATTACTATTTTATGAAAACTCTTTATTACAGCGTAATAGAAAAACTTGAACAGTTGATTGCAGTTCACATGAGCTTAAAAGATCAGGAAACGAAATTTCGTGAACAATGCAAAAAAGATCGAACTTATCTGCAAATAATTTGTGATACAGTTGAAAATGCTGCATCAGTAACAAAACAAAGTCATTATAAAGAGTATGATGAATTTAAATTGTCAATTAACAAAATTAGATTAACTCTAGCAAAAAAAAATCGTGCTTGTGTATTACTAACTCGTCAACTGGATGACGTGCCTCGTAGATTTGAATTGACGCAGTATCAGCGTCGGTTTATGGAACTATACAATCAAGGTAAGAAAGAAAGAAGTATTCATCTAACTAAAAATTAGTTCGAAGGATC